TATTCTGTATATATTTCTATACATTTCACTTTAATTTTTATTACAAAATACAAATCAAAAATCAATTAACCATAAAAATGGAAATGTTTATCAAAATTAATGGTGTATTTGTGTTGAATGTTTAGGTCATGTCCTGCAACTGATGAACGATCGGATAAATGTTGGTTTCAGTGAAAACGAATTGTTGAAAATATTTTGCGATATTTGCGAAGCCGTCGCTCGTCTTCACCACAATCAGCCGCCTATTATTCACAGGGATTTGAAGGTTTATTTTATCAAACTTTATATCTTATTTTTATTTAATTATTTTTAATAGTTTTAATTGTAATTATACTTAAAATAATTGAATTTATTATAGCGTTTAATTGCTGTGTTTTATTCACTGCTTAAGTTAATAGAGTTAACATCGAGTTAATTGAACCCATAATAATGTTAAGGGAATTAAATTTGTTGTTTCTGTCAGACATTATATTTATTTTCACAACAGAATTATCGCATAATTTAATAATTTTCTTATAAATATTGTGAGAAAATATACATCCATTACAATCATTACAACCATTTTCGCTAATATATACTCAAAACAGTTATATTTATAAATAAACTATTTTTGTTTATTTTAATGATATTTAGTTTTTAATGACTTGAAAATTAATGTTTTGTATGAATGACTTTTCTATGCAAACAGATCGAGAATATACTGATATCAGAGTCGGGTTCCTATCAATTATGTGATTTCGGTTCGGCGACTGTCAAAGTGTTGCGAAACAGTGACTCCCAGAGTGTGTTAGACATCGAGGAAGAGATCAAAAAGTATACGACACTGTCATACCGGGCGCCGGAAATGGTGGACCTGTACGCCGGCAAACCAATCACCACCAAAGCGGACATTTGGGCGCTCGGATGCCTGCTCTACAAGTTATGCTACTTTCAGTTGCCGTTCGGCGAGTCGACGCTCGCCATACAAAACGCTCAGTTAGTAATACCCGACGCGTCCAAGTATTCACACAAACTGCACGCTCTAATCAAACTGATGCTCGAGCCGGACATCGACACCCGGCCCGACATATTCGTGGTCTCCACTCTGGCCTTTCAGCTGTTGAGTAAGGAGTCACCGGTGGTGAACGTGAACGGCTCGGCTGTGCCCAAGTGGACGGCCCTATCGTTGCCGATGACTGAGTCGGAGGCGCGCGACGCCAAACGCAATGCCAAACAAAACGCTAATGTGATGAACACTCGAGAGGCGCCTCCGTTTGGCGTCGCCGCTGGTGTCACTACCGTTGTGGTCGGCGGCGCCCCTCCGGAGGGCACGAGTGTCGCCCCCCGACAGAGACCGAAAGGCGCCACAAGTGGTTCGTATTGTTTTGATGACACTTTTGCACACTTGACTAGAAATGTTTTTGTTTTGCTTTGTTTTTGTGATATTATCGCAAATGATTTATATATTTGTGTATTTTTTAAAGACTTATAAAGACAAGAATGCATGTGAGAAATCCAATCGATATTAGTATAAATTTGTGATATAAGTCATATACCTGTATATCGTATATACCATTTCCACACCTGTATTATAATAATATAATTTAAATTCACGAATGTTTTTATGCCATATGTATTTGAGATTGTTTTCGTTTACGTATCGGTTTTTGCATAATATTTATTAAAGCCATAAGTGGTGATCGAGTTAAGGGTTTTGTCCATTTGTTAAGTGAGATCTGAATTGAGATTAAAACTACAAGTAATATATAACATATAGTATATACTGTATAATGAGATCATTTATTCATTATTTAATATTAGCTTTCGTTTAATATTTATTTTTTGAGAAATTAATTTATTTTTAGTTTGTTTTTGTAGCATTGAATTTACGTATAAATGCGTGGATTTTGTATAAATGATTTTGTATTTATTCAAATTCAATGATAAATTTTTTATTAGTTTATAATTTATTGCTTATGAATACGTTATTATGGACTTTAAGTCATTTGTTATCATAAGCACTCATTTAATGATAAAATCGTTTTAACTATTTATAAAAAAAACTGAAACACCATTTATTTTTACCATTTCTTTGTTATATACTTTTAAGCTATTATTTGAGAGAATTATTAATGTTTTATAAAATATATTTATAATTTTCAGGTCAACTCTCAATACAAGTATTATCGGCGGGAGCCGTGAACCGGGCGACCACTCCTGTGGAACAGTCGGCCAACAAATTACTACCAAATCAGTCAATAACTACATCACAAAGCTTTACGTCCGGCGCTCAACTGTTGGCCTCTCAGTCGTCGGCCCAACCGTTGCCCGTATCGGCGCCGACCTCTAATCTGGTCTCGCCGTCGAATCACATCCGCCAACAAACGGCTGTCGCAACCACTGAGGCCGCAATCGCTAGTAATAATCCATTCATTATTGTCGGACCTGATTCTGGGATCAGACGGACGCAGACACCTCCCGGAGCCACCTCTCCCACAGGTAGGGCGAAAGCACAGACAACTAGTTTTATACGGTATTTAATGGTATGTTATTTGTTGTTGACTTAATAGGAAGTATTCCGTCACCGCATATGCATTCGTTTCATCGCCGGAACGTAAGCGACACTTCGGGCTTCAGTAGCAAAGATTTGGTCCAATTAGTCAATACGGAGACCAATCTTCACACAAGCAATTCATTGTCCTCTCAGAACACATACACTGGTGTCAAGGGTTGGAATCCATTCGAGGAGGACTTCCGGCCACAACCGGCAGACATATCGGTCGACGACCAGCTCTTTGGCCACGAATTCGATAAAATACGCAAAGGTTCCCAAAGCAGTGAGTTTTGGCTTCACATATGATTCTCCACTTTTACTCCTTATACTATCCCTTTGTGTGCCTATCGTTTTGCCATTAATACATGTATATTAACTCAATTATACTTTTGTTTTTGTGACAAAAGGCATATCAAACGTGAAGAGTAGAGAAGATCTAGTCATGTCGTCGATGTCTAATACGGAAGCGTCGGATCCGTTCGGTTCGGCGCCATTCGATCCCCAGAAGATGCGAAGACACCAACAAAAGCAGGAACTGTTGAGACTTCAGTTAGAAAAGCCGCACGATTTGAATGAATTTAATTTATTAACGGCTAATACTAACGCTAATAAAGGTAAATATGATTTTTGGACGTAATTCACTCTTCACTTGATTGGCATTTATTATTATTTACGATCGCTTTTATAGTCAATCGCTCTTTTCTATTGTGCAAAATATTTGATTACTTTTTTATAAATCATTTTCTAAACGCTTTATTTATATTAATGATTTACATTGAGTCTAATTTACAGCATTTGATTAACACATGATTTAATTAATTAAATCGCATGATTGAAACGCTTTTACATTTAATGATTAACTATTTATTTAATAATTAGTTTAAACAAGTATTTTATTAATTAATTTTCAAATAATATGTTTCTTATTTTATTTGTTAATTTGAATCAAAATGTCTTTAAATGTGCAAATTTTTAATTTTTGTTTTATTCCTATAATAAAATTATTTTCAAATTTTTATTTGGTTTTTGGTTTTTATTGCATGCAATTCCTGTAATGGGGTTAACATTTTGGGCACTTTTTCTATCATATCTTCACTGAAAATGTTAATTAGTTTCACTATTTTCACTGCAAACCGCTCTTTCATTCGCTGGGAATTAATAATTTATATTTAATTTCCTTTATTTGACACAACATTACCATTAGATTTATATTTAATGTCAAACACAAACACATGACTTGTTTAGCCAACAGAAGAGTTGTTTTGATTAAATACCAGAATCAATAGCACTTCACATATTAATGATATTATTATTGTTTATTATATTTACACAATCCGTACGTGAATGTTATGTCCAGAATATTATTGCCAAATAAAACACTTAATTATTAATGAGAAAACAGTTTAGAAAGCGATAATAAATCTAGTTTTAGTACTAAAAGTCCAGTATTTATTAGTTTAATGTTTAACTCGTATATTATGACTGTGAGTGTGATTGTGGTTTGCGTTGATTTTGTGTGATAATTGTTTGGTGTGTTTGTATCCCTCAAAGGTATATCAGTTCCGACCACTTATATGCCATTGTATTCGTCGGACGCCGAAGACGGCGACGAATCACGCGATGGCGATCATCACAACCACGAGATGAGATCACTGCCCGTTTCGATACCGCATCGGAATCGCAACTCTTCGGAGACGTCCACCACTACATCCCATTCGACGATCGCCTCCAATGAGGGCTCCGTTAAGAACGCCTTCGTGAAAGCGCCCGCAGAGGACAGGTCTAAGTACGAGAAGTTCTTCGACGCCGATCCCGATGACGATCACGAATGTATGTCTCCATTGTTTTCATTCATTTATTTTGCCCCCAATTTGTTTACCAAATGTTTTTATAGTCTGTCATGTGTTTAGTTAATTAACTTTCGATTATTGACTCTGGTTTTGATTTTCATGATAAACATTAGGAAATGAAAGACACTTTCAATACAAAACAGTCTCTCTTTGAGTCCATTTAGTATAAAATGAATTAAAAGTCAATTTATTATCTTATCGTAAATACCATTAATAATGATTTATTTTGATAACAAATGAAAATTTACTTTTCATTGTATCTCAAATCAGACATCAATACAAAGAGAAATTAATTCTTGGAATTGTATGTATTTATCGGGTTTGAAAGCAAACAAGTATTTTTGAAAATTGATATGATTTTTGTATATCATTGCCAGTGATATGAGAAATGTTTACAAAAATTAATTAATATTAATAAACAGCGTATTTCAAGAGCACATCAATTTTAGTAACCACTAAATTATAATAACGAAAAGCTGTAGTCATTTATATGATATGCAAATATCAATACGATTAATGATATTTGGATTTCTATCCATTATATCATTGCTCGAGTCATTCGTCATTACATTTTTCACAATTTCGCCGTATATTTCACTTTAATATCTGTAAATCACAAATAAATTGAAATCACTATTTCATTGAGTGTTCAGTTATTGCAACGCTTGTTATCTAAACGCTTGCATCGCATCCCAAATACCCAATTGTTATTAACCATTGAATTGAGTGATGATCTCATTTAACAAGAGTTTCATTAAATATGTTAAAGTGATTGAAGGAGAGAGGGATTCAATCGGTTCGGCGTCTGATTTACGCGATTCAGAGGAAACGCCAGACGACGGCATCGATGNAATATCATTAATCGTATTGATATTTGCATATCATATAAATGACTACAGCTTTTCGTTATTATAATTTAGTGGTTACTAAAATTGATGTGCTCTTGAAATACGCTGTTTATTAATATTAATTAATTTTTGTAAACATTTCTCATATCACTGGCAATGATATACAAAAATCATATCAATTTTCAAAAATACTTGTTTGCTTTCAAACCCGATAAATACATACAATTCCAAGAATTAATTTCTCTTTGTATTGATGTCTGATTTGAGATACAATGAAAAGTAAATTTTCATTTGTTATCAAAATAAATCATTATTAATGGTATTTACGATAAGATAATAAATTGACTTTTAATTCATTTTATACTAAATGGACTCAAAGAGAGACTGTTTTGTATTGAAAGTGTCTTTCATTTCCTAATGTTTATCATGAAAATCAAAACCAGAGTCAATAATCGAAAGTTAATTAACTAAACACATGACAGACTATAAAAACATTTGGTAAACAAATTGGGGGCAAAATAAATGAATGAAAACAATGGAGACATACATTCGTGATCGTCATCGGGATCGGCGTCGAAGAACTTCTCGTACTTAGACCTGTCCTCTGCGGGCGCTTTCACGAAGGCGTTCTTAACGGAGCCCTCATTGGAGGCGATCGTCGAATGGGATGTAGTGGTGGACGTCTCCGAAGAGTTGCGATTCCGATGCGGTATCGAAACGGGCAGTGATCTCATCTCGTGGTTGTGATGATCGCCATCGCGTGATTCGTCGCCGTCTTCGGCGTCCGACGAATACAATGGCATATAAGTGGTCGGAACTGATATACCTTTGAGGGATACAAACACACCAAACAATTATCACACAAAATCAACGCAAACCACAATCAC